GACACAATCCGATTTTGCAATGAAGAATTGTCCTTGTAAGCTGACGTGAATATTGAAGTAAAAATCTGTTTCGATGTTCCAAAGAATATACATATATCCCGAAGGACCGCGTAGACCCTCGACTCTTGGCATGCCAACTATACCCCTAGCTCTCATGACACATAACATGGGCGTTATCATTTATTTCCTTTTAAATATTCACATAAACTTGTAATTCACTTTCACATATCACGTATCACATAGCTTCTTTTCATATTATCACATAGTCACATAGTTCACTTACACGTAGATCATTTCCATATAATTCACATGTCACATATATCATGTTTTCATATAATTTCTATCATTTCTCATCCAATCACATTTATTCATGTAAACATACTTATCATATCTTGTTCACATAAGATCATATACTTCATATAACATATAGAAACACCTAGAACACTTTCACGTAGCTTATATCAATTTTCAGAGTCCTTTCATATTACCTGATGATATATCTCATATAGATATATAATAACTGATATCATATTATCTACCTTATGCTCCATTTATTTGTATTCCCTTATTCATATCATCATACATTTAAATATTCTTATATGTTCTATCAATATCCTATAAACTTACTCATATTCTCATATATCATATTTTAATATAATTTGTATAGTAATACTCTATAATTGTATCACATAATGATTTTACCCAAGTACTCCTTTATAAAGTTTATATTACATGTTCAATTAGTCTCATGCTATCTTATAAATAATTTCCATTTATTTTATATCATTTTCCTTTTCCACTCACATAAACCATCTATTTATTTAGTTCAATTTCTCATGACTTCCACAATACTCTTTAATAAAACTTTGTAGCTCTTCACTATAATACATAAACCATAGTTTACTTTAATTTATCAATCTTCCCTATATTACTTATGTATCCTTATTATGCCCTCGAATTCATACTATTCTCTTGGAGTCTCCTAACATTTCTCGTATAATCACTTATACCATATCATATAACTTATACTTGATTATCTTATTCTCTCATGTTCATTTCATTTCTTATGACTCTATCATATAACTTATCTCATGTTCTTCCATTATTACATATTAAAGTCTTACATACATCATATAGCATATACAAAGCATATCATTATCTTTAGTCATGCATACATACAATCCATGTAATACAGATAATCACATATAATCATGTCCATGACTTCATGCATATTACTCTAGGAAATAGACTCATCGCAAGTCTTATTTCCATTAAAAACTACATATCACTAGTATGCACTCACCTGGCCTCACTAGTCCATTCCAATCTCTTATCTTCCCTTTTTATCGATCTTACTTATCAATGATTCCGGAACTCGTTTAGGCTCGATATCTACATAGTAATTCATTGATACTTATCAGTATACTAATTAGTATATTCTAAACTATCATTTCTTAGGCTAAAAGAAAAGCCATTTTCATCTTTTAATGGAGGCATGCATCGATGCACTCCTGATGCATCGATGCACTGAGGGAATTCGATGTTCATTTTATTAGAAATGCATCGATGCACTCCTTATGCATCGATGCACTGACGACATTCGATGTTTGTATTAAAATTAATGCATCGATGCACTTAATATGCATCGATGCACCTTCAACAAATTTCTGGGATTTATCATTGATGCATCGGTGCATAATGAATGTGCATCGATGCACATTACCCAAAAATGTCATTTAAGCACGAAAATCTCTTCTTACTCTACTTGACACTTTATATTTCCCCTCTTATAATATCCCTAACTTGCATACTCTTACTTAAACTAATTATTATCCATTAAATACTTCTAAAACTTAGAAATCTAATTCTCCATGTAGAATTTAAGAATCTAACCCAAATTCCAACATGTTCTAATTTGAATTCTAACACCTCATACTTCTTAGTTAGCTTAATGACAAGTCAAATTTCACTTCTAATTCTTATTAAGAACCCTATTCCAAAATTTCACTTTTCTACTTCCTTTATTTAATTCTTCATACACTCCTCATCTTATGGTTTTAAGATAATCTAAGCTTTCCTTAAGCTTAGTTATCAACTAAAGATCAATAAGAAACCTTAAATTCATCAAGAATTTGATCACAAGAAAACTCACCTTTGCTTGGCTTCACACGTGAAGAAGAAGAAGAAAGAAATAAGAGAACTCTGGAAACCTCTAAACTTTCTTTTCCTTCCTTCCACGTGTATCTATATATAACATATATTATTATTATATTTTTCTTTTCCTTGTAAATGACCATATTATCCTTTCATTCCTCATTCTTTTCAATTTGATCTTACACCTCATTTCTCATATAAGTCTTTAAACCACTCAATTATTTTAATTTAAATTACCAAATTTTGAAACCTTACGATTTAGTCACTAACCCGGTATTGAGGATGTTACATCATCGGTCTTAACATGAAGCAAAAGTGCAATGTCACCATATCGCTGACTGAACTTCTGTTTCCAATCATTCTTCCAACTGCCCCAGATGTCCCGAAGCTCTTGCACGTCGTTCTGCTTTAGGCTAATAGAGGCGTAGTTAACCATTTCTAACACATAGCTTCCTTGAAGACTGTCTTCCTTTTCCTTCCGAGTTTTCTCGGACCATAGTCGTACCTCGGGGTTTTTAATTTCTTGTATTACAACACGTTTATCCATTAATTCAGATTATTTTGTGTAATAAATACCTTTTAAGGGATCAATGGCCTCTTGTTATGATGTAAATGATGAAAACAAAATAAAAGAAGACAAAATAAAAACAATTAGTGAGGTAAATCAAAATAATAAAATGAAAAATCCTACCCCACATGATATCTACCCGAACATGCTTAGTATTCCTACTCGGACATGATCTCTATCCCGCATGCTATTCAAGCAAATCCTAACCGCATATTTGTTTATTCTGGTTAACGTTTGAAGAAGGATTTGCTTATTGAAGCATATTCAACTTCCCGAGAACACACTTAGCAAAATTGTTTACTAAGAGAAAACTAAGATCGGAATCAGTTGTTATTGAAACGACACAATCCGAGTTTGCAATGAAGAATTGTCCTTGTAAGCTGACGTGAATATTGAAGTAAAAATCTGTTTCGATGATCAAAGAAATTTGAGGCGAAGCTGAAGTCTGAGGCTGCTTTCACAATAAGTTTCTCTATATCTCAATATCTTTAATTTATTTGTTTAATTATTTTTCTTCTATTTAATTCTTATTTTTTATTTTAAAAATAACTTTTAAAAATCTCCTTTTATATTTATTACTATTACTATTTATTATAATTATTTATTTTATTATACATTTTCAACTTTACCTGGAATTCTATCTTTTCCTAAAATCAAGAAACATTTTATTAAATAATAAAAATCATAGTCCCTGGATCAACTCTGCTTCTCTATATTACCTTTTTCTTTTTTATTTATTAAGAAACCATGAATTATTTTGATAAAAAAATGACGGTTATCAGTATGAGATGAAAATCATGCACCCTAAAATGATTAAACACTAGAACTGGGTAATATCAACATGGAAAATGTGAAAAGAAATAACATTTCAAAAGCATCTTACTCCTTCCAATTTTTCCCCTAAACAACTACTATTAAAATGTGCTTCATCCACATTTTTTCTTTTAACAGGGAGTTAAAATCCAGTCAGTAATTTGAAAGAGGGTTTAGATAACATCAAAACATAAATGCATCCATTCATAAACCAAATAAAAGAATGGTGACTGCTATTTTGCCGATGAGCTAATAGTCGTATTACCTGTCTAAGCTGCATTTCTGTCATGTTAAAGTGCAAATTCCCTACATATAATTTTCTATCAACAGCTCCATATGTCCCGCAACACTGCCTGCGTCGGTACCAGAAGTAGTGGACTGAACAAGGTTCTTTTCAGCCTCTGAAGGTTTAACCATCACAGGTTGACAAAGAAGTAGTTGACCAGACAATGCTATTGCCATTGGCACAGACATCACGTCATAAAATTCAATATACCTGCAATTTTATCAGCACCTGTAATTAGTTTCTCTGAATTAACATACAAGAAAATTTGTGGCCACTATTTACAAAGAATATAGCAAAGAGAAGCAGGGAAAGGAAAAGAGTCGTGCAGAGAACTGTGCTGAGTATCTTTGGTTGAATCTGGTGCCTCGTGCAATAAAAGATTAGCTCAGCATAACAATATTAGAAAAGAATAATAGACTTCATACACCCAGATAATCTAACATTGATAATCAAAAGGCACAAAAGAACTTGAAAATGAGGTTAAAAGATTGGCATGTCTCGATTTCAAACGAAAGTAAAAGATGGGGAAGGTAACATCTTTAGCTTACGATTATACTCATGCAACAAAGATATAAAAATGAACCCAAAAACGACCAAAATCAAAGGTGGACAAAGAAAACATCCCAAACCACTCCAATTTATCAACCAAAAAACGAAAAAGCCTAGCAATAAGTATCGTAATATAATTTTGTAATTTTTACTTCAAGACAAGTAGTTATTTGGGGTGATATTCTCAACTTTTCTTTTTCTTTTGCTTTTGCTTGAGATTATCTGTTGGTAGTCTTATAAGAGTCTATACGCATTGTTGTGCCTTTGAATTCTGATCTTGTAGCAAGTCTTTTATTGTTATAGTGAGACTTTAAAGTGAATTCTGAAATTTCTTGACATGCATCTTTTGATTTTAAATAGATTTTTAACTTAAAATTGTGTTGTGTTGTTGGTGAAGATATGTTATACTTTTCAGAATCGCACATGGTGTTATCTGGAGATAAAAATATCGATTGTTGTTGCGTGGTATTTCAATAGGTTAAGTTTCTTTTCAACACTAAATGGGATTTCAACCTTGTATTTAGTTGGGCTGGCCGATTGAATTGTTCTTACTATTGTCGTACCAATACATTATTGCTAGGAACTTCTCTGCAATTCTGTTTATAGAAAATAAAAATAAAAAATACAAGAACACTAAATTGGGTTTGCACTGCAAGTATATGATCTGTGATGAAACAATCAGTGCTAGTGCTACTGCTAATCTATGATGCTGTACCTTTCAAAATTCTTTTGCTACCAATGCCCTTAGGATTTGTAGGCAAAGATAAGTTAGCCACCCTTTTTTGTTTTTTTATTTTGTCATATCCCAAAGGAACTGAGCTAGCCTTGGAAGGGATTTAGTTGTGCTGTTGCTGCTGCTGCTGCTTGAGGTTGCTCTTAAACATCTTCAGCTTCACGGCGTTGGGATATCTTGAGAAGGTCACCGCCTATTTCTCGGTCATCTTCTACTTTTTCTCGTCGGTTTCCCTCTAAATCACCTCCCGAGTTCATGGCCCGGCCAAACCCTGTTTCGTTTTCTTGTACATAAGCATGAAAGTTGTTTCTCGAAGGCTTTATCTTGGAGCAGAATACTTGTCGAAAGTTGTTGAAGCAGCCACGGTCGTATACTCGGGGCCTTGCCAGTCCTTGTCCTTGGTACCGAATCCGAAATGTCTCACACGTGGTCTGAAAGAAATAAAATCAGTATCAGAAACCGCTTTATTATATTCATATTTGACACAGGATGAATATTCAAACTATCATCCTTCTTCAAATATATGAATTTACTAGATAACACCACGGTTGGCTTGTAGCATTTACAGATAACAGGATGCTCACCTGGTTCGTGCCAATAAGATACAAGTGGAAGCAGGTAAGTCCTCCAACAAACCAAAGGAAAATGAAGCAATAAACCATTAGTACCAGTGAAAGCGGGGACTCTTTTATTGCTTTCCACACCGTTCCATAGTCATCGGTAAGGAATTTTATGTTCAAGGCAGACATTGCAAAGATGAAGATGCAGAGGATGGTCGATGATGAAATGAACAGAAAGAAAGAGCGGTAGTTGCGCTGCATATAGATAAAGAGTAAAAATTAAGACAAACTACTATACATAATTGAGCAAATCTTTCTTGCAATGATTGATGGTGTTTATCAACATCCAAGCACCAATTACGCTAAAGATGATACTTCAGTTTCCTGTTTCTTTGGCAACAGATTTGAAGTTGACCAACTGATTTCTGCAAGGAAATAGTCAACTACTTAAAAATGCGAGAAAAGGCTGACGCACATACCAATCCAATGCACTGGCCTACCCAAGGACAATGGTGATCAAATCGCTCCACGCAGTTATCACATACAGAGCAATGTGAGCAACGAGGTGGACGATACAACTGACATGTGATACAATACTTCACCCGAACAGGCACACCATTGACAATGACTTCTTTTGTGGGTGGCAGTCGTGGGGTTGGTGTTTGTCTCCCAATATCAATCGAAGCTGAGGAATCGTAACATATTTCTTCTGTCGGTGGATGTAAATTGCGAGGAACAATTCCAGGGTCTCTGGCCGACGTTAGAAGCAGCAATACTAATACCTATCATAATCAAAAAAGAATTACAGTTGAAAAATTGTGTTCCCAAGTCCTACTCCTACACGATCATTGGAATAAAAATGAACACACAAGGTTTTTATCAAAGGAACTAACATAGATTGTGAAAACTACTGTCACCATTAAAATGGCATAGCCAGCGATATTTCCTGACGTTTCATCAAAGAGGTTCCTTGCAACATTTGTACAGAAGATAATAACGGGAACAATGATGAGCAGTAAGGTGACAATCAGTGACTTAGCATCTGGACCAAATATCAACCTTCCCTTGAAAATAAATTTCTGCAAGATGAAGCCAAAATAATATATATATATATATATATATATATATATATATATATGCAGAGAAGTCCATAAATTAGGGTAATGCTGAAAAATATAATAACTCAGGACCGAAACACAAGGGTTTCTAGATATCGAAACATATGAACTTATAAACACGTATCTAAGTACGTATGTACATGTATCTAAGTATACAACATAGACAAATGTGCTTTCATACATTGGACCATTCTGCTGAATCAGGAGAAGAAGAGGACTAATGTGATTGAACAAACCAGAGAAATATCAATAATGTGTCTGAGTATCTGTCTATATATGTACTAGTGTGTAACTCATCATTCCGCAAGTTCAAAAATTGAAATATTAGCTTCAAGTTTACTATTCATGTATGTACAGGACAGACCATGTTCACCTCTCTCCAAAGGGATAATTTCTTTTCAAGATCAAATCATTCAAGTTTTCTTTTGAAAATTTTCCATCATAGTCTTGATATTCATAATGGTAGTATCTGATTAACACGCCAGTGAACAACCTACCTACCCTTTGTTTCTTTCAAAAAACCGAACCCATGGCAGCTGACAAGGAAAAAGAAAATGCTAGAAACTAACATGTACTGAGAAAATAAATCAAAGCATGAGTATAGACGAGCAAATCAAACACAAACGGAAAATTAAGCATGGGGAAGCAGAGAAAGCATACATTTTTGCCCTGCCAAACTTCATACTGACGCTTAGCCATTAAGGATTGTGTTGAGATGAAGGGTTACCAAGTTGGGATGACAAAAGAGAAGAATATTTGAAACTTGGTTTCGGCCAATTCTTTTTGTAAATGAGAGGAAGAGAAAAAGAGGCGGTTCTGGGGTTCAAAATGAGCTGGAAAGAATGATGTGTTTTGTGGGATCTTTAAGATTTTACTTTTGGTTCGTCACTTTACCTTTTATACGTAACCCCTTTATTTCTTTTCTGCTTTTATTTTCAAACAATTTTGCTCTAATTTGGTTTTAGTGTCTGTTGCTTTGAAAATTGATATTTAACCGCTCTACTGTAGTTCGTCATAGTTTGATCTCATTATTTAGTAGGTCAAAATTGATAACATCTTTAATTATTTTCATTAAAGTAATTACATGTTTTTTTAAATAATCTTAAATATTCAGATATTGAACATAATTGATTGAACTGTTACATGACTTTAATTGTGTGATTGAATAACCATCAATAGGGCAATGTAACGAAAACAACTAATGATGTATTAATTTAGACTTACTAGCGATATATAGTACATAAAATCTGAAATGTAATTAACGAAGATGTTTGGTTATGCCCAAGGAAAAAGGATCTACCTTGATAATGGGTAGGTTGGAATCAAGTAAGAAGATTTAGATCAAGGAATATTTATTATTTCTAGAAAAATGTCATTGGGTTTTGTTCTTGTGACTGAAATAACCCGGCTTAGAGGTTGATTTTACAAGATATGGAAGGGTAATTTGGAAAGTAAGGGTGGGATTCGTGAGTAAAATAATGGAAGGTGGTAAAGCAAAAAGCCTTTGATTTCTTGTTGGATGGACAAAGGGACAAATTGAGTTACATTGATACCAAAAGGGTTGGTCTAAGTTTTCGCACTTTCATGGCTAAGGCCAACTCATTTATTTTGTATTAAAAAGGTTAGGACTTAACCTCGAGATGAAATTTGTTTTATTCACTCACAAAAATATTTAAAACATTCCTTTGGTGAAAACCAATTAATTACGATATTGGAAATTTCTTGATGAATTCTAACAAGTGAAGATCCAGATCATACATTCACATGAACGATTTATTACACTGATGTGTTCATTAAACTTGAGAATAATTTTTGTATCATCGTATTCAAATTCATTGAATTACATTAATTTATTTATTATTTTAATCACAGTCAAGGGTCAAAATGTGTAATATGAAAAGAGTCATAGTTTCAAATTCTTTAGATTTAATTATTTCTTTTTAAATTAACTCTAGTTTTGAAGATAAACAAATTAAGTCTTCAGGATAACAACCCTTAATTTTTAAAACTAGTTTTAAATTAATTCTTTAGACGAACTATTTCTTAACCCCTAAATTTTAAAATACAAGTACTTCTTAGGTCCTCTTAATTTTGAAACTAGGTGAATTAATCTCGGTCTAAACATTTTATAAGTCTCTTTCAATTTTAAAATTAAACAAATTAAACCATCATTTATTTTCTTTTTTATTTTCAAATTGATAACTTAACAATTAAAGTCTAATTATGGAGATATAGAACATGTAAGTTGTCATGCTAGCATATCCACTATTTGAGTCTCCAACAATTATTCCAAGTGCATGTTCGATTTGACTTATAGACGAATATACAAATATAGGTTTCATGCTTGTTTGAGTAATAATAATGAGATTCCCCAAAATATCATCATGCTAATTAGAATAGCTTGGATTTCTAAAAGAAGATGCTACTCGTTTGGAAAAAGGAATATAGAAAATTTGAGTGATTGAAGCCCAACGGCTGCTGTGCTAGAATTGAAGTCGAAGAGAAGATTTCTCACTTGTTTCTTTGATTCAAAACTTGCTTGGAACTTTCATCAACCCGACTACAAAGTGATAAAAGAAAAGGTGAATGATAAAAAAGCAAACAATAATTATTATTTTAGTTAGAAAGCTCTAAAAGGAAAAAATCGTATTAAAATAAAACCTCTTCTTAAGAGGTGTGATGTGATTATATTGATTTTTACAACCAAACTTGAAGTTAGTATGAACCAACACATTAAGAGGCATACTAAAATGCTAATATCTGCACCAAACGAGGCCTTTATGTTCACTAAAACAAAATGCTAGTTGCAGACTGAAGAAGGGAGAACAATGCACAAGATTAAAGCAAACAACAAAATATACAAGGTTGACACTCTTCAGGATAACAACCATAACTAGTTTACTAGTTTTCAAGTCTTCACATATGCAATATTAAACCCCATAAACACAACAGAAAATAAATTGCAAAGTTGAAAACATACCAAACATGAAAAGAAGTAGAGCCGGAACATAAGTAGCAGCAGTGACAATGCTAAAAGATAGCACGGACAATTTATTCCATAATATTTGGGACAGCAGCAAAGAGGAAGCTTATCAGAGCCATTCAGATGTCAAATTTGCTTTCCTCCCTCTCCCTTCCTACTATTTCACTGCATACGAAAAGGCAGAAATATCATACGCAATGAAATGATGAGTCTCCTCAAGTAGAAAGACAGTTCCCTGGACTTGCCCATATGGATCATGAACTTAAATAAAGGCTGTAAATTTTTCTGTATCACTTAACCTTCGACACAATCGTTTCTATGGGAGTTCAAGACTGTTCAAAGAAAAATTTTGTCATCTCTTCGCTCCTATTCTTCATCCACGTATTTCCAGATGTTGCAATTTTAGTTTAGACTGCATAGCCAAGAATATCTGCTACTAAGACCAAGTACTTGTACCATAATTGCAGAACCATTTGACAAAGTATTTTTAATGGGCAAATAATTTGTACGAAATATTTCTTAGAGGATGATGATTCACAGCAAGCAATAACTTCCTGAAACTGTCTGATTCATACGGGAGAGAGAAGTGAAAACGATCCCTGATATTATCAATGCCATTGCTTCAGCAATTCAAGTAAGAACCACCGGAAAAAAGTAGCCAGGGGAAACCACAACATGGCAAAATTAGTCATTCCACCTCAACAGAAAAAGGATCCATTCATTCATTTCACCCTTTAGTTTGCGTAAGTTTAGTCAGTAGCGCAAAATATTTCTTAATACAATCTAATAAGTTACCAGCGTTATATCTATATAGATTCAATGTTAGAACTAACATATTATGGACTTCTATATACAAATACTAACAGTATCAGAAATATTGAGTAAGTAGTTAATAAACGAACCGGAGCATTTCAGTGAGAGTGGCCGCGGTACTCAAGTCGTCGGCTTCCCTTGCTTTGAGGGTACGAAACAAAAGAGCAAGTTTAACTTGAGTCCTCGCACTTTGCTGGATTACGAGTCTAGTTTCCCTTTTCAATTCCTCGCACTCCGATTCAATCATCTCAAAATTTTCTTTAACTTGTCTTTGCCCTTCCCTGATGCTCTTTTGCTCCTCGCTTATGTCCTCCATTTCTGATTTCAACCTTTTGAAGCTTTTCTCCGGTTTGGGGTTTGGGGTTTGGGGTTTGGGGTTTGGGGTTTGGGGTTTGGGGTTTGGGTTTGGGGTTTGGGGTTTGGGGTTTGGGGTTTGGGGTTTGGGGTTTGGGGTTTGGGTTTGGGGTTTGGGGTTTGGGGTTTGGGGTTTGGGGTTTGGGTTTGGGGTTTGGGGTTGGGTTTGGGGTTTGGGGTTTGGGGTTTGGGTTTGGGGTTTGGGGTTTGGGGTTTGGGGTTTGGGGTTTGGGTTTGGGGTTTGGGGTTTGGGGTTTGGGGTTTGGGGTTTGGGGTTTGGGTTTGGGGTTTGGGGTTTGGGGTTTGGGTTTGGGGTTTGGGGGGTTTGGGGTTTGGGGTTTGGGGTTTGGGGTTTGGGGTTTGGGGTTTGGGGTTTGGGGTTTGGGGTTTGGGTTTGGGGTTTGGGGTTTGGGGTTGGGGGGTTTGGGGTTTGGGGTTGGGGTTGGGGTTTGGGGTTTGGGTTGGGGTTTGGGTTTGGGGTTTGGGGTTTGGGGTTTGGGGTTTGGGGTTTTGGGGTTTGGGGTTTGGGGTTTGGGGTTTGGGGTTGGGGTTTGGGGTTTGGGGTTTGGGGTTGGGGTTTGGGGTTTGGGGTTTGGGGTTTGGGGTTTGGGGTTTGGGGTTTGGGGTTGGGGTTTGGGGTTTGGGTTTGGGGTTTGGGGTTTGGGGTTTGGGGTTTGGGGTTTGGGTTGGGGTTTGGGGGTTTGGGGTTTGGGGTTTGGGTTTGGGGTTTGGGGTTTGGGGTTTGGGGTTTGGGGTTTGGGGTTTGGGGTTTGGGGTTTGGGGTTTGGGGTTTGGGGTTTGGGTTTGGGGTTTGGGGTTTGGGGTTGGGGTTTGGGGTTTGGGGTTTGGGGTTTGGGGTTTGGGGTTTGGGGTTTGGGGTTGGGGTTTGGGGTTTGGGGTTTTGGGGTTTGGGGTTTGGGGGGGTTTGGGGTTTGGGGTTTGGGGGTTTGGGGTTTGGGGTTTGGGGTTTGGGGTTTGGGGTTTGGGTTTGGGGTTTGGGGTTTGGGGTTTGGGGTTTGGGGTGGGGGTTTGGGGTTTGGGGTTTGGGGTTTGGGGTTTGGGGTTGGGGGTTTGGGGTTTGGGGTTTGGGGTTTGGGGTTTGGGGTTTGGGGGTTGGGGTTTGGGGTTTGGGGTTTGGGGTTTGGGGTTTGGGGTTTGGGGTTTGGGGTTTGGGGTTTGGGGTTTGGGGTTTGGGGTTTGGGGTTTGGGGTTTGGGGTTTGGGGTTTGGGTTTGGGGTTGGGGTTTGGGGTTTGGGGTTTGGGGTTTGGGGTTTGGGGTTTGGGGTTTGGGGTTTGGGGTTTGGGGTTTGGGGTTGGGGGTTTGGGGTTTGGGGTTTGGGGGGGGTTTGGGGTTTGGGGTTTGGGGTTTGGGGTTGGGGTTTGGGGTTTGGGGTTGGGGTTTGGGGTTTGGGGTTTGGGGTTTGGGGGGTTTGGGGTTTGGGGTTTGGGGTTTGGGGTTTGGGGTTTGGGGTTTGGGGTTTGGGGGGGGTTTGGGGTTTGGGGGTTTGGGGTTTGGGGTTTGGGGTTTGGGGTTTGGGGTTTGGGGTTTGGGGTTGGGGTTTGGGTTTGGGGTTTGGGGTTTGGGGTTTGGGTTGGGGTTTGGGGTTGGGGGTTTGGGGTTTGGGGTTTGGGGTTTGGGTTGGGGTTGGGGTTTGGGGTTTGGGGTTGGGGGTTTGGGGTTTGGGGTTT